ATTTATTTATTTTATTAGATTTTAGTATCCTAAATCCTATGTATGTTGATTCTTAAAATTCTAACATGTGGTATTAGTATCAGAGTAGGTTATACATGGATTTAGAATATTGAAATAGTTGGTTTCATTGTTGTGGGTTTTGACAATATTATTGGAATTTTGATTCAAACCTGTCAAGTTAACTTTGTTTTAAATTGTGACTAGAGTCTTCAAATTTAATTAGTAAGTAATTGAGGTTTAAAATTTATTTTCACTGATGGTTGAAATTGAGTTTAGATGGTTTCAAAATTTGTTGTTGTGATTGTTTAATCCATGCTTAAAGGATTAAATAAAAATTTTGTTCTTGGACATGATTCTGCAAAGATAGAAAAGTTAAGATATAATTTATAACTTAAGCAAATCCAATTTTGGTTTTCTAATTAGGTTATGTATGCGTTTAATTAAGAACTAATTTTGGGGCTTTTGTAGATTATAAATCTGCAATTGAACCCATTTAAGTTTTGTCCAACAACATGATAAAACACAAAAGGTGAAAATTAAGAAAAGTTATTATGATAGGGAAGATTAATGGGAAAACTACTATTTGCTCCTTTTGTAGTTTTGTTTAGTGCAAATTTGTCCCTATGACGTTTAGTAAAAGTACAAAATAATAGGATGTACCGAAAAAGTACAAAATAATAGGTGGACATTGAGTTCAACAGTGACTACTATTTAATCCCTCCATCTTTCGCAAATGTTCAAAATAACCTTCATAAATGACTACTATTATATTCTTTTGTTGTTGAACATCTTGTTATTTTGTTTGAGACAACTAATTTAAAAGAAAATAAAAAAAAAATGATTTGGGATTTGGAATCCCAATCAAGAGTAAGGCAAAGAGTTGACTGGGATTGAGCATCCCAATCTATTAAGGAATCCAACTAACTTAAAAAAAATAAAATAAAAATAAAAATAAATGCAAATAGAAGTTGAGGGACTATTATTGTTATTTTACTATTTAAGAAATTGCATAATGGTGCAGAAGTTCAACACGAACTTGTTTTTCATAACAGATATAAGGTGTCGATGAAAAACCAATTATAAGTTACTGCGCAAGTCTGACGCAAGGTGAGGGTATCAACACTTAAGGTAATTTACAACAATTGAGTATTGGGAGTTTTTGAACCTTTTGATGTTAATTGTATGTTGTTATTTATACACAATATATATTAAACCTTCTATGAAAAATCTCTATTAATATAATCTCATTTAATGATTGTATGTGCATAAAGAATATTTATTAGGTGGTCTAATTTTATATATCATCGGAATAATTGTTTACATAATAAATATGTATATTAATTTGTTCTATTTAGATTAAAATACATATTAAGTGCAACACATAAAATACGTATCAATATGTGGAGGTTAACAATATATAGTTAAAGGCAAAGAAATTATTGATATGATATACTTTTTATGTTTTGTTTTGAAATCATTTTGTGAATTTTTCATGCACATGTTATATGTTATACAACACATTTTGGAAATTAAATTTCATGATTTTGTTAAAGCAATTAACCACAAGTGAAGGTACATAAATTTTATATACCTATAATTTATATATTATAATATTCTTGAGTTAAATTTCTTGAAATTGATTGTATTACTCGTTTACAAAGTTTTTAAGTTTGACTATTAATAGGAAAATTTATGGTCATGGAATAAATGAGTAGAAAATATGAAGCTTTAATTGTTTTGAAAAATTATTTATGTTCAGATGTGAGTTTAACATATGGGTTTTTTAGCAGTGTTTTTTAATATGAAAATAAATTATCCATATTTAGATATAAAGAATATATTTTTAGTTGCCAATAAACTATCCATAAAAATTATTTATGCATTAGGAGAAAGCATAATAGTTATTTTCTACTAACTCTATGTAAATTAAGAGAATTTTCAATGTATTAAAAGTGCACTAAGGATTGTTGAGAATTATAATTTCAATGATTCGTCGAATTGTATCAAGGCAAACTACAATGGTAACTGAGTATGAATCTACTCGTATTAGTATTTTATTCAAGATAAAGTTATTTGTTTTTAAATGTGGGTTTTAGCATATGACATTACTAGAAAACAGGGTTTATTTGATAGAAATTTTTGTCGATTATAGGAGAAATTTTGTTGATTATAGGAGAAATTTTGTTGATTATAGGTATAATCAACAAATATAATTGACAGCTAAATTTGTTGAATAAGTAAGGGTAAAAAATAATATAATTGACAGAAATGTATTTTATTGATTATACTAGTATACTTGTTCCAACAATAAAAAAAATTAAAATTAAAAAATGTAAAATTAAATTTTTAATTTTATAGTTATTAATTAAATTATAAAGTTATTAAACAAAATTCAATGATAAAATCAATCAAGTGCAACAATAATATATATTATATAATTTTGAGAATAATTGAAAAACAGGAATAATATTCAAATATTATGAGAATTAATGGAAAAGTAAGTTAAATGAAAAGTAATTGACCTA